TATGACATACGTAAAACGCTTATTTGGCTTTCTTAAGCCATCTACTGGCTTTTTAGGTAGAGTTTTGGGTGGACTTAGTTACATTTTGGCCCTAGGCTCCTTTGTTCATTTCCTAAGAAGCCAACCGATGACTTAAGCTTAAATAATAGCATATGTATACAAATTTTGAGAATATATCTGATAATAACGACTTGTGTAAACTCAGTGTTAGCTATTCAACAGCTGGTTTTAACAGTTTATTAAATGTGTTCATAATAATAGCATCTTAAAAGGCGACGTGGGTATTTGTCCGTTGTCAAGTTAAGTGGGGTACACACGGCCAAATAATACAGGTGGTAGTCGCATCAACACAGCTGGGGCATTGTACAAGCAACTGTCAACAAAATTTTGAATTCAAAATCTTAAGAAAAAATCATTCAATTTTGTCGAATTTAATAAAAAGCACATATAATAAAGGGTTTGGAATGGTATTGTATAAAAATGTTTAAAATTCAGTGTATGTCCGCAAAATGTTATTATTTTCGATATATCAATGTACACAAATGCTGAGGAATCTACCTGTATTTTTCTATTATGGGAACACAATATGTTAGATATTGCCAAGTTATTGCTAGAATTGAACGGAGCCAGAGGGACCATGATTATTTTGTTATAAAAGATGGGAGTGCATAAAAAGAATAACAGAACTTTAAAGAAGTTTAAAAAATCAAATGGCAAAAAGTGAAAATGACAATTTATGTGCCATAATAATAGGGTGGAACGCTTTTTAGATCAATTTTTTTTTTCAACAATAAATTACATATTTTGTGAAACACATGCTGCCGCACAACACTTGTATTTTTGTGGTATTTCCACATACAAAAATATGGAAAAATCGCAGCCACATCAACAAACCAACCAGTCAGTCAAGCATAAGTTTTGTATTGGAAGATATTGCAGCAGCCAAGTGTAGACAGATATAGAGATACAACAAATGCTGCGAATTCTGCGCTGTGGTAATTGTTTTGACAGGCTTTGCGAATCACGTTTACACATGGGTAGGTAGTTAGTTTCTGTTATAGTAGCGTTGCTGAATAATGCAAACGATTTCACTGAATAACCGAGAAAACCTGACTGACGCTGGTGGCTAGCGGTGTTGAGTTTGATTTGTCAGTCTGTCAACCAGGCCACTCTAGCTGGCGTTATTATAGCTGTGCTTTAGCTGAATGTCTTGGCAACCATAATCAAAAAATGAGTTCAAGGCCGTTTATGTGGCACACCACCACCACTTTAACATGGCAACAGCAGCAGCAGTAGTAATGACAAAATAAAATCACTACCTCGAACGATAAGAAAAAAGAATTAAAGAACTATTCTCAACTCAAAAAATCAACCAACTATACGACGGCGAAATATGTATTCCACCAAATGAATTCAAGAAATCACCATCAAAAAACAGCATTGCTTCTTAAGGAGCAGCAGCAGCTAGATTCAGAATAAAACATAATTTTTGAACCCTCCTTTCTCTCCTTTGATGGTAGTGGTGGTATCTCCAGCACAATACAATACAGCCACCACCATCACCACATCATTAGCATCTCTCCATTTCCAAGCAACAGCAGAGCATTAAGACAGCCATGGAAGTTAGCACAGACCGACCCCTACGATTTGCCAATTCGCATAATCGTTCATATCTTTCCATGGTGATTCTCTGCCTTCCGCCAAATGCCACAAAAAAAAGAAAACATTAAAGTAGGAAGTTCGTGTTGCTTGCTAGCAAAAGATTGAATGTGGCGAAATTCATTTCGGGGAGGTTTTGTTGTTGTCGTGAAAGCCAACTCAATGGAGAGAATATTTGATGATGGCAAACAAAAGTAAGCAAAATAAATTTTCGGATAATTGCTGGCATAAACTTGACTTGAGAAAAGTTTGCTTAAAGAGCTATATAGTCGTCAGGCGATTATAGCATTCAATCAATTGCTTAAATTCGAAATTAAAGGGTCACAGTACACAGGACAAAAACATAAACTTACAACAGTGTAGCTACACACGAATAACTGTGGGGAACAAAATGCGTAATCAGAATAATTCCCCAACAACAGACACGTACATACCGATGTGTGTATGTATGTAGGATACAAAATCAACCATAACCATGTAGGTTCGTACGTATCTACACGCCCGACCTTTTATGCAAGTCAAGTATAGATCTGGCCATGCAGCCAGATACTGGCTGAACAACGCACCAAAGAAGGGGGGTGTTCTATGTTTGGGTATTACGCCGAGTTTATTGTATTCCTACATTTTATCTTGCTCTTCTTCTTCTTCCTCCACTACTTTGCCACATTGGCCATCTGATACTGAATCGCAATTAAGTGTTTAGTTTTGTGCCTCAGCACCACCACGGCTATGGTGGTGGTGGAAGGTAGAATATCAATGGTGGCTTGCTTGCCTGCACTGACAATTGTTCGTCCGCCAGTCGTCGTCATCTGTGTAATGAACCAAATGTCAACCGTCATACGTGCTATAGGTGGGAGTAAGTAGAAAAGTGTTCGACCTTTAGTATGAATTCAAATTATAACACTACCCCGGGTTGAACGGGGCATTTCAAGCATTAAGGGCTGCACATTTTGGTCATGCACCGATCCTGGACATACCTAGAAACTCGAAATATTTTAGATAAAGGTGATACAATAAGTGATCCATCTTTTTAGACTTTAATTTCATTGACGACAGAAACGCTTGGACAGCTTGTGAACCTCCTCTGGATGGTCTGGCCATATACACAGACGGTTCCAGGATGGAGGAAGGCATCGGTGCGGAGATTCTCACAATCAAGAAGGCATCCGAAAAGGTAAGATAACTTTGTTGCAGCATAATAGGACCATATACGTCGATAGTCAGGCGGCCCTTAAATCCATCAAGTAAATTGTCATCAAATCCAGCGCCATTCTTGTAGTACGTGAACTCATTCTGTTTTGTTGGGTCCCAGGAGGCGAAACCCCAGTGGCAAATGAACTGGCTCACGAATTATTTCGAGGTGGTCGATTGATCTACCGATTGATGAGACTGTCTACCGATTAAAGAGACACTATTAGATATTTTTCAAAAAGGTTTTCATTGAAGAGGCTGGTACCAGTAAGGTATCTAGGGCACTCTGACCGGGAAACTAGAGAAAAATAACCTGCTCTCTACTCTCAAGTGGTAGGTCCGATCTAAGAATTGTGGTGGATATGTTGACTGGCCAGATATCTGACCTCTATATGGTTGAAGGGAGAGACGATTGAACATCAATCATGCAGATGTCTAAGGCTGTCAAGCAAAAGACATGGGTTGTTCGGCAGGTAGGAGATTTTAAACTCCAACGTTGTTCTCAGACGTAGATGCCATCACCATCCACAGGTTTGCTAAGAGCATATCATGGCTAGAGAATCCATCTCTATATCTTCTTTCTATCCAATTTATATCCTGCCGCCGAGTGAGGCAGCTGCCGACTCTAGTGTAGCTGCACATCCTGAAATCTAGCCTAACCCAGGTCGGAAAATAGGAATATAAATATTCACCTCTTAAAATGTGAAAAAAATCTTAGTTTTATTGAACTACAGCTAGGCCATTTTTTTCTTTGGGTATCCTTACCTTCTGAGGTATTGAACCGAAAACCGAAGTGCTCTGGATGAAATCCGTTAGTGCTCTGAATAAAAACTGGCGTTTTAATCGTTTCCAAAGAATCTGAGTTGTTATAACTCAGGCCCTGTTTGAAATAACCCACATATGTGATAAATAATTGAATAAGCTCTCATTCAAATGAACTAAGAACTAGTTATTTTCCTTCTGTGAATGGTCACTGTGAACTATATGAACTACAGATCTTGAAATTGAGGAAAGCATATTATCATAAAATGCACTTTGTAAGCAGAAAGGGTTAACAGGTATCGAAAATTCGTGATAATGGCCGACAACAGTAGTCACCAGTTTTGCAGACACACACAAACTATTTGTGTATACTCATTTTGGGAACACAAGAGTTGGGGCTACTAGGATGCGACCCTCACCATCACGATTTTCTGTCACCATAAACACTGTGTGAGGCTGTTTACATCCACTGTGCTGCGTTGACCCTTTTCAGTGTTTTCTTTTTTTTTTCTTGTGCTGGTGGTGTTGCTCTTGTTTTTCCTTTTCTTTCATCTGTGGCTGTGCTGTATGTATGTACGCAGAGCACAGCCATGCACACAACAAAACACTCACACACACCGACTACGACGACTTCTGCTCGTTACAAAAAAAAAAACAAATGAGACAAGCAACCATCCAGCTTTGAAACAAAAAAAAAAAACCAACAACATTTTCTCTACCTCAGAGGAAAACGACAATGAGAAATGGATCCACAAAACCCAATCAAATAATGGGGAGAACCGAAATCACAAAAAAGAAGAAGAGGAAGAGAAGAAAACAGCAGCAAAATTGACTGAATATTTTTAAACTAATGAAAATTCACCCATTTAATTTTCATTTGTTGTATTGCGTTTTATTGGTTCAAATAAAATGCTAAATATTTTCCCGAAAAATGCCAACACCTCGATATTTTCGATTATATCATCAAGATTTACACAAAATTGTATTCAAAAAAAGAAAATAGTGCAAAAAATTACATACTTATGTATACCAGAGTCTCAGTCAATATGTATTTAAACCCAAAAAAAAAATCTTAGGCTGGCTGTTCGTATGTGTGTGCACGTTCGGTCAAAAGCTTAAAATGGCAGCAGACCAGACCAACCGACCGATGATGACAAAACGTAAAGTAGAATCTTAAAGTGAAACAAAAAAATTCAAAACGCAGCACAATTTCAGTATTGAGAAATAAAAAAAAAAAACTAGAAATTTATGAAATTATTGGAAAAGTTAACGCCTCAAAGCAGAGAAGACAAAATACGAATGCCTGCCTGCCTACTCTTCCGTTGTTTTTTTTTTACATAACTGTGAAAAATAGTAGATATCCTTGTGAAAGTTTTGTGTGTATATACCTTGGGTTTTCCTCCGACTTTTCCACTAGCACTTTGTTATTTTATCATTTGTTATTTTGTTTCTTTCACAGAATTTTTAAATATTTTCCTTCATTTGATTATTTCATTTATTTCTATGGAGACATTTGGTATTTAATACACTATTTAATGATGGTTGAATTTTTGTTGTTCTCATTTTATTTTTTCTTTCTTCTTCACATGTATAATTCTCTCTCGGTTTGTATATATTTTTTTCTCTTTGAATGAGTATTTTTGTTTGATTTTACTCTCTCTCAAGTTTTTTTCTTTATGTTTTATTAAATGTTTATCCGAACACTTGAACACTTTCGAGGTTTCCACACGCAATGCCAAATCAAGACTGCCAACGCGAATCCCAACGACTGTCAGATGAGCACAAAACTCGTGGTTCGCTTTGTTTACAACTCAATGGCATGTGAGAAATTGAGTGCAAAGTGCCAGTTGGTGGAAAAACACTCGCTCGCGTATGCGTAATAATTTGAATTGGCATTTAACTTTTGGCCAATAAAAAACAAATCAATTGAAATAAATTTATAAATATAATTTTAACAAGAACTATATTTCCAATTAATATTGTTAGCAAACCTATTTTACTGCCTAAAGCCAGAATTAATTTAAAGAAGAAAAAGAAATGAATTATGAGAGCATTCTCACTCATTGTTCTGTGTCATCGTCGCAAGCAAAGAAACAGGGTAAATTGAATACAAGAGTGGACCGTAATAAATGCAAACGATAAAGAATCACGATTTTGTGTATTCAATGAATTTTTAATGCGATGCTCCATGAAGTGGAAAAAATGACACATTAAAAATAAAGTCAAAAAAAGGTTAAAAAGTAAAGTTGCGCTGTAGTTGCGTTCAAAACTTTGACCCTTTGTGGAGTAGGTACCAGAAAAATGTTCCGATCTCTACCATCTTTATAACAGATCTTGTGTTGATGAAAATATTAAGACGTACCCAGTCTGAATGGAATTGGATGTTAATTTCGTGTTTCCGTTGGACTATTGTGTCTGGAGTATTTTGGAAAGCAAGGTTGGTGACGCTTTCATTGGCCGTTTGAAGGCCATAATTCGTACCAAAGGTGACCAATTCGAACAAATCTAAACTTATTCTAAAATTTGATGCTATTTCCGACTTTTTTTGCTTTCATGCAATAAAAATTAAAAAAAAATGTACAAAAAATATGACGTTTGACTTTATTACAATTTTTTATCTCAGACTGTACTATAAATCCTAAAATAGAGTTTCTACATTTTTCTGAAGATTGTGTTAAAAAAAAAAATTCCCATAGATCTTAAAAAGTAATACTTTACATAAGCAAATAAAAACTCATCCCGCCTTCCTATTTTTGAAAGCGTATCAACCTAATATCTTGGTCACTCAAATAGTTTTTTCCCTTATTTACTTCTGAGTAGAACTGTTTACTAACAAGTGGAACAGTACCTAACCATTTCCTTTTTATTCCAACTGGATTGAATTTTTCCTATTTATCTATTTTCCAATTAGATTTTTCGATGACTATCCAATACTAATCGATTTAATTCACATCCCTTACTCGTCGTTTACATTGTCAACTGTTAAATATTTTAATTGCGTATTTAAATTTATTATATACCTAAGAACATTTTTTTAACAACGTAGCCACAAATTATTTACAAAACATGTGAGCAATATGTCTGTGCCTAGCCTATTAGCACTCAATTACATGGCACTTTGAGTGAAAACGTGTTTTGTCTTTTCTTTTATATACCTCCACCTATCTGTATAGCAAGCAGCAGACAAGGCAACGACAATATTCCAACACAGAACATGCTAATATCCCTCGTGTTTTGTCAACCCTTCCAAATGTCGAAATGTGTGTTTAATGTGGTTCTTTCTCATCTATCTAGGCATTTCCCAATTTAAATACAGTGGGAGTCAAAAGAAAGGGGTATGTTTATATATTTCATAGGGAAACTTCGGGTATAGTTACTAATAAATCAATCAAGGCCTCCATGGCCCTCAGTTTACATGGTAGCTGGAAAAGGAAGTGCAAATATTCCATGTACAGGGTGAGATGAAAAAAACTGCAACCAACTTCAGACTTCAGTCATTTATAAGCCACTCATCCGACAGCTGTTAAAATTATTCCAATGACAGCGCATTGTATTGTTTACAAGCGTACAAAAGCATTTTGGTGAGAATTTTCCAGAAAAGTTATTCGTGATGGAAATGGAAGCGTGATAGTGTGATTTCTTTATATTTGGCTGGAAAACCACAAGTGGCCATAGATAGAGCACTCCAGCATTTAAATGTGAATAAATCTCTGTGTCTCGTAACTTCGCTCGTTACCGTGCGATGCTGGTAGCGTAGCCCGACGTCAAGGAAGTGGACGGAAGAAAACAGCAACATCAGCAGAAATGGTTATAAAAGTAAAGAAGCAACTTCATTGAAACCCACGCCGCAGTGGCGGAAAATTGAGTCGTGAGCTGAACATATCGCAATATTCCATTCAGTAAATATTGAAAAATGAGCTCGGGGTAAATTCATTGAAATTCCGAAAAGTGAAAGAAGTTACACAGCAACAGAAAGAAAATAGACTGAAAAGAACTAAAGAGTTGCTTCACTTGACCGAAAGTGGTAAACTGCCGAATTTGGTTTTCTCCGATAAGTAAACATACGTTGTCCAGCAGTTTGTAAACAAACAAAATGATCGTTTTTACTTGCCAAAGAGGTCAGCTGAAAATCTGCACCTTCGGTTGGCCATCAGAACTCAAGCACCGGCTATGGTGATGGTGTGGGCCGCAATAGCAGCCGATAGTCGCTCTCCACTCGCATTAATCGACCGTGGCATCAGAATAAATGCCGAATATTATCGCGTAGATATTCTGGAGAGTATATTAAAAGCCTTGGGCACGCAAACATTTTGGCCGCAAACCATGGACTTTCCAACCGGATTCAACACACGCCACCCAAGAATGGTTACAAAATGAGGTTCATCGCTTTATTTCCAGCGCACAAAGGCCACCAAAATCTCCAGATACCAATCCGTTGGACTATTGTGTCTGAAGTATTTTGGAAAGCAACGCTGGCACTAGAAAATACCAAAGTGTCGATCACCTCAAGCAAGCGCTTCGCCGGGAATGAGCCAAAATACCACAGAGCAACATTCGGGCAGCGTGTGACTGTTTCATTTGCCGTTTGAAGGCCATAATTCGTGCCAAAGGTGATCAAGTCGCACAAATCTAAACTTATTCTTAAATTTGATGCCACTTCCGAAATTTTTTACTTTCATTTAAAAAAATGTAAAAATTATGGCATTTGACTTTGTTGCAGTTTTTTATCTCACCCTGTATAGCGGCATATCGTATTCCAAAATTAATAGAAAAACTTGCTGATTACAGCATTACGAGTAGTGTCCTCCGCTTATTGTTGTAAAATGTAACAAACTCCAATCTATTTCAAACACTTACTGTATATGAATATTCAGTGTAACTTTGAAACTAGCCACCACACAGTCGGAACAACGTAATACATATCTGAACAGCGTATCAAAGTGATTTTTCCACTTTTATCGCCAACCATTTCTGAGTATTTTTTTTTACAAAAACTGAGTGCTTTTCATCATTTGTAGCTTACCTGAAAATAGAAAAGAAGACGGAAAGAGAGGAAAAATTAGATGTGAATACATACAAACGTAAATAAAATAAGCCAATGTTAAACAAACGGAACGGAAAAACTCAACTACTGCTGTTGTTATTGTTTTTTAGCTATTGTCGTTGAGGGCCGGGGCGATCAGCTGATCGTATATGGCTGATTTGGTGGTGGAGGACTGGTTTGGTTGTTTATATTTGAATTAGTTTCTCGATTTTCAGCTGTTTTGTTCATTTTGATATATTTTGTGAAAACAACAAAAAAAAGGGGCACACTCCCATAAATGTACACACAAGAGCGAGCGACGAGACATGCTTCCATATCTTTACACTCATAGATGCAGTGCTTCGAACAAGGGGGGTAATTTCTGACAAACTTCGACTGACTGGAGTGTGTTGTATACATATTGGAATAGAACGCATTAGCCAGCAGTCTATCAGACAGACAGACAAAAAGACAGACCAACCCGCCCGAGTCGCATAAGGTATTGTTATAATCAAATTGCCATATGACGACGTCTGACTCTGGATGTAAAAAGTGATAACTGCGAGACCACAATGAATGACTGTTACAACGTTTTGCCCCTAAGGGGGAATTATATGCCGAATGCCAACTGCTGATGCTCTCGGGCAACAATAATTCTAATTGTTAAATTTTTGTAAGTTTTCTTTTGTGATACGGTGGGTTGTTTTTATGTCTCAAATTCATGTGGGTTGTTTTGTTGATGTTTTATGTACCCATCAACTAACTATGTATACCTACACCCATTTTTATTTACATCCAAATATATGCCTACTCATATGTAAATATCGAATTTGTTTAAAATACATAAGGGGATGTCACGAACTATTTCGGCTCGGTTTGACACCATCTGTAATGCAATTTGCAACCTAAGATAAAAATTATGAGCTTTTGTACGGGAAAAATTACATGTAAATGCGTTATGAATTAAAAAAAAAAAACAAAAATGATGTTGAAAAGCTATTCCACAATTAACCCGAAAGACATTTTACGTTCTATTTTGATTTTGTTTCAAAACAAATCTCAATATGAAGTACCAGTATGTTCTGCATAGGAGGTATTCTAAATATCTTTGATCGATACAAGAGGCTTTTAAGTATCAAATCAACTTTTAGTCATCTATAGCTGTACAAACCTCTTAATCCCTTTAAACTTTACAAGCCCCATCCCTACATGGTCTTAAAGGAACTAAAAATCCTTATTTGGCTATCACATACAGAGGTCCTCTAAAGGTATTTTATAAAAATATTAATTGGTTTCTGAGACTATAAGTAAACAGATTCTTCTTTTGATGGAAACGTTTTCCAAAGTTCTTTTACGAATCGAACATCCTAAATGCAGACTGCTGTCATTTCTAAGCCACTCGTCCGACTCCTGTTAAAATTATTCCAGTCACAGCTCATTATATTGTTTACAAATATAATGAGCTGTTTCGGCAAATATTGAAAAATGTGCTCGGGATAAAGCCATTGAAATTCAAAAAAGTGCAAGAACTTACACCGCAACTGAAAGAAAATAGACTCAAAAGAGCTAAAGAACTGCTTCGCTTGGCCGAAAGTGGTGAACTGTCGTATTTGGCTTCATCCGGTGAGAAAACATTCGTTGTCCAGTAGCTTGCCAAAGAGGTCAGCTGAAAATGTGCAACTTCGGTTGGCCACCAGAACTCAAGCGCCGGCCATGGTGATGGTATGGGCCGCCATAACAGCCGATGGTTGCTCTCCGCTT